TTATCTTTCTAATCTCATCTCCTAGGATACTTCTGATAAACCTAGGGTATGCGAGGGACAGTCAGTCAGACAGACAGACAGACAGACAGACAGACAGACAGACAGTGGTGCTCTCCCACACAATCACTCTGATCTCCTTCCTGCCTCTGTTTAAATATTATCTTCTTAAATGCAACTTCCCTGCCCCGACTATATGAGAATGTTACTCATCCCTCCTTCTCCCAAACCTGCTCTTTCTCATGCTCTCAGGAACATTTATCATATCGTGCCTTCTCCTTGAATCTTTAGTATCGATTGTTTTCTATCACCAGAATTAAGATCTCTAAAGGCAAGGGTTTGCTTCTCTGGTATTCACTTGGTGCCAAGAGCAGACACTCAGTAAGGACTGTTGAATAAGTTAATATCTCATAAGGAAGTCCTCTCTTTACTTTTGTTTTTCAAGAGTACTGCAAGCATTAGACATTTATTTTAGAATCCTATTTATACCTGTCGTGGATGTGGAGATCTTTGCACTGAAGCCTATTGGGGAGTAAAATTAACCCTCTCAGCTCTTCTCACACCTCAGCAGTGATGTAAGTCAGGCGAGGAGAGCTGGGCAGTTCTCAAAATAGTACGATGACCAGAAATAGAAGTAAAAACTGTACTGAAATTTTCTTGCTATAGGATAAGAGTCAGAGTAATGGGCAGTTCAAAAATACACCGGACTTCTGGGAGACAGAGTATTGCACATGTCAAATCATTACTGTCCTTTCCTCAAGTTTGTTCAGATTCCTACCTGCTTTAAGAAAAATGCCATTTGGAAAGTGAAAACCACAGTGCCGGAAGCAGCTTGGCTGAGTTCGGACAGTGGAGTTTACATTCCGGGGTTGGCTAGATCCTAAGCCCATGGAATGTGTCAGGGTGGGACTCAAGCCGTAATGAGGATGTCAGTCCTTTAACCAAACTCTACCCTAGGGACTTATACATTGACTTCTGCCATAACTCCAGTTCGAAGACTCAAGATCATCTTCTGAGGGCACCGCATGCACACTGTGCACATGCTTGCACACAGACAAATAAACCTCACACATGTAACATAAAAACGAGCGTCTTTCAGAGCCCACAGTTGCCTAGTTGAAGGCACCTTGAATGAAGGGATTACCCACTTGTCTGATGCCAAGATGCTTCTCACCCATGTGCCCAATTCACTTCCCTGAACTCTCAAGGAAGGCCCTTCCCTGTGGCGGACAGGGAGCAGGGCTTTGCATGGTGCTATCATTAAGAGGTCTACCTCAAAGTTTGTAGGTACTTTGGAAAAGGAGAGGCACACAGTGAAAACTCTGACTGGCCCGTGCACTCAGCGGCCCTCCCTGGCGGCACCAGCTGATCAAACAGAGGCTCTGCTGGGTCTGAAGTCTTCCCCATGGGTGTCTGTGAGTAAACAGACCGGCAGCAGCATCGCTGGCATCCACTGGCTCTCACAGCTGCAAATGCCAGTGACTCAGGGACCTCAGGAGCACCTGTGGACTGTTTAGAGCATGCACCCTCCCAGCAGCCCCCACCCCGTGCTTCTGACTCCACCAGTCTGGGACAGGCCCAAAAAAGCTGCTCTGTAGGATGTCCTGGCTATACAAACACAGGCCATGCTTGGAATGCCACCTTGAAATTTCTGCTTTTTAAGGTTTATTTATTTGATTTTATGTGTTTGAGTGTCTTGCCCACATGAATGTTTCTGCCCTATACCGTGCCCAGTACCGTGGAGGTCAGAAGAGGCACCAGTGACTCCTGGAACTGGAGTCACTGAGAGTTGCAAGCTGCAAGGTGGTTCCTGGGAACCAAAACTGGGACCACTGAAAGAACAGAAAGGGCTCTTAATCCTGAGCCACTGCTCCAGGCACCATGTTTAAACCTTAATGGAGCCACTGGAAAGCCTTGTACTAAGTCCTTACATGAGTTCTCTTTGCGACTGTTGATCTAGACATCTGTAGAGAGACTATCTGCTGTCTCTCCTGCTTATCCGGGTCTGAAACTCCAGCTCCCTCCTTTCCTTCCTCCCCCACCCCCACCTCCTTCTTTTAGACAGACTATAGCCCAGGGTAGCCTCAAACTCATGATTCTCCTGCTTCTGTCTCCCCAGTGCCAGGATGATTGACGAGGGCCCTCCATACCCAGCCACCTCTCCGATCAGGCGCATCCAGCCTTTTGATATTGCAAAAAGATGTTGTCGTCTTCAAAGTTCACACTTGGGAAACACACAATTGGGCTTTTAAAAATTGCAAAAAAAAAAAATTCATAAAATTTTAAGTGAGTTTGTGTTGCGCCGCACACACAGCCGTCCTCGGCCACGTGCAGTCTGAGTGCTGGGCAGATCTGTGGGAGGCCAGCTGTCGGCTTAGGCAGGTTAACCTCACCTTTATGTATTATTTGGGATGAAGAACTTAACAGGAGAAGATGGTTCTTCAAGATCCCAGCCTGTGACAGCATGGTTAGAACACAGAGTGCCTGAGGGAGCATCAGGGAGCAGTCACTGCAGACACTGGCACGTCACCAGCACTCACAATACCTGGGAAAGAGAGGAAGAGGCGCCTCACCCCGCCTGCTATCTGCTCACCCAGCGGTGTCTCCTTGGAATGGAGGGATAATTCAAACAGTGACAGGGATGGCTCTTGAGCTGCTGGACACAGGCTGACTTCACTGAATGAGTGAATCACAGGCATGGAGAGAAATTCACCCAGATTCTGGATGCTTGCACCTGGCCGACACTCACTTACTCATGTTTTTACTCAATTACTATTTCTAAGACTAAAACAAACAAACAAACAAAAAAAGAGGGGCCCAGGACATAGAAATCTCTCTCTCTCTCTCTCTCTCTCTCTCTCTCTCTGTCTCTCTCTCTGTCTCTCTCTCTCAGTCTCATGACCAGTCTTTTGAGACAGGTCTCTCATTGGTCTGGAGCTCATCAGTTAGACTAGATGGGTTGGCCAGTGAGGCCCAAGGATCCTCCTGTCTCCAACTCCCAGAGTTACAACTGTGTGCCATCATGGCTGGCACTGTCCCATAGGTTCTGGGGATTAAACTCAGGTCCCCCTGAGTACTTTATTGACTGAACCATTTCCTGGCACCCTGTTAAGGGGTCTTTCCTGGAAGACCTCAGAGGGGTCTGCCACAAGGGGTGGAAAAGCCCCCAGTATATAAGAACCTGCCAAAGTCTGAGCCCTCATCTCCTTCTTCACCCTCAGAGATATTCAGATCAATTCCAGGTTCCCCAGGAAGTGCTACAGTTTCACGTGTCTTATTCACTAAAGGAAGAGGAAAGCTCTCGGCAACCACTAACTGAGAAAAACCTCAACAAAACAGAGGGATCAAAGAAAAAAACTACCAGGAACCAGATAAGGGCTCAGCCTGCTTACTGGGCAGAAGGGGAAGAGGAAATTCACCTCAGGTAGTAGGTAAGAGAGTTACAAAATGATTGGGCCTGGGTTCCCGAAGGAGAGGAGAAGCAGGAAGAAGTGAGTTTGGAGCCTGTGGGTAGGGTGGAGCAAAGCCAGGTCACACCTGAATTCCAACGTCAGCTCTGCTACCAGCCAGTTCTGGGACAAGGACAAGGAACTCACTTCTCCAAACCACAATTTCCTGAAGAAAGAAAGGGAGAGACAGAGAGAGACAGAGAGAGAGGCTGTCTCCCTGGCCTCTGTCACTAACTCAGATCTGAAGGATAGCGGTGCGGCCTGGGTAACGGATGTGGAGGGGATTTGACAAAGCTCTGCCTTTACTCATTTGTTTCCATTTTCCCTTCCAAAACACTGGTCAGCGAATGGCAAGAAATAACACATTTAACTCTTTGGTTTAAAGAGGAAGAAAATAAAAATCCAGAACTTAGAAACCAAATGCAACCTGTCTGACACAAGAGCTGGCCCAGCAGAGATGGAACATTTTAATGTTTTGACTCCCATGGTTCCCTCCAGCCACTGTGAGTGAGGCCTTCTATACCAAAATAAAATGATCAGCATATCCTCTTCACAGAACTGGGCTATTGCTTTGCCTTGTGCTAGAAAAAAATCTGTTTCGGCCACTCCAAGTCACAGTAGTTCCCAAGAACTGAGGCCGGGCATCGCAGGTTGCAACATGGGATATCCAAAGAATCAGGCTTCAGCCAGGGCAGTAAAACCATCCTGTCTGTGCCTATGGAGGACCTCCATGTACGTGTCAAGAGTCCTCACCAACTTGGTCTGTTTCTTTCTTCCTGTGTATGGCTCAGAGACAACTCAGTCACTGAATTCCTTGAGTGTTGGCTTGCTCAAATCTTATTTCTGGGACTCACTGCTCAGGACACAGTAAGCATTCAATCACTGCGAATGGAACTAGCTGATGTTCCAAATCAGAAGATAGTGGACACTGGCTGTTCTATGACCCTCATTCTAACATGTGGAACTAAGGGGCTCACATTTGGTCTCCGGGATCAGCTAGTTGACGGTCTAGCCTATGACAATTCATTTTCTCATGCAACACAGACATGTCCACAACGATGGATAGAGATGATGGGTCAACAAGGGCTCTCTCGCCCAGGAACCTCCCTCTGTCACTTTAAAGGGGCAAGGATCACCTTTCATTACAAGAGGCATTAATTCAAAAGCTCCAGTGTATCAAAAAATAGGAACGCAGACACAAACAAACTCTGCAAAAGGGGGCTCCCATTAATATTCACGCCTTACTCTAGGACCCCCCCAGATAAATGGCCTCTGTGGGGATCAATGGCTCGGTACTTTAAATCCCTCTGTGACCCCTAACACAGAGCTCACACCTGGTAGTCATTCTTGCATGTGGGGCAGCGTGTCACTTCCGGGCTAGTCATCAGCTCTCTGGAAACCGACTAGAAAATCCCAGGCACTTTTGGGACTGCTCACCTACAAGCTGTCTATCAAAATCCTGGCTCGCCTCTGACCAGTTCCCCGCTGGAGACAGACACAAAAGACTCGGTATCGCCACGCCAAAGGAGGAAGAAAGTGGATGAGTATACTCACCAAGGTACCCACAGAGCACCTGGGACTGTCTGGAGCAAAAGCTGCCCACTGAGCCAGAGGGTGTTGTAACAACTGGGCAGACAGCTAGGGGTTTTAAAAAGCAGGTATTAGCTATTTTACTGAAGACATGCCCAGCCCAGAACTACACTAAGATTCCAAGTAGGAAAGGGACTTGCTGGCTAGTCTTACCATCCCCCCCCACCCCACCCTTCAAGATAGCAGACATCTGATAACCAGGGCAGGACAATAAACCCTCAAAACTCTTGGCTCCCACCCTGATTTCTAGTCCCTGATCTCCTGCTTTGCTGTACCCAGCAGCCCGCATTGCTCGAGGCAACTGTCCCTTTGACATGCTTTAATAAAAAAAACAACAACTTACAATTTATACTGAATTATACTAAAGACGAATAAGAGAGGTCTTGACCCTGTTGGACAAAAGAGTCTATTGTTAAGAACAAAGCTTGAGTTTTTGTTTGGCCAGCCTAGGTTTCGCTGTTCTTAAAATCCACCTGTCCTCATTTTTCACCCACATATCAAAACCCTTTCACATTGGGTCAGAAATCCAAAGGCCTGTTGATTTAGAGCTATGGGCCTGCAATTTCAAAGTTAGCACATTGTGGAAGAAATTAAACATGTCTTCCTTGGAGCTGGACTATTCAGACACCCCCAGGCTTTTATATTTAACGGACAGCAACCGGATTTAAAGGTTGCTGCCTTATTCTCAGAGAAAGAAAATACACTGAAAAACAAAAACAAAAAAAAAAACACACATGTACGTTTGTATATCAAAGGGAGGAGAAAACATTGCTGTGTGTTCGAAGAAACAGCTTTCTTCTCTCCAACAGGTTTTTTGCATGAGAAGATGGGGATTAAAATCCATCGATTTTTCCATGAACTTACTCATATTTTTGTATGTACAAGACAAACATGTTAGCCCCCACCTTCCAAAAAAGATGGCAGATTTAAAAGCCTAGCAAATACAAGGCATTTGAGTGACACATGCCTTCCAGTTATCTGGTTTGCTGGTGACAGAAGCTGTGCCTACATCCAGGTCAGGCAAGAACACAGGTTCTCCAGCGCTTCATATTGGTTTAGAATCTGCATGCCTTCCTCCTGCAAGCTTGTATGGGTGTATCTTCTACAGGTAACCAAGGCCCTTCAGAATGGACTGGAACCTTCTTTTAATAAGACAAAGGCTTCCTGGACTCCTCCACACATGCCATTTTAGACAGGGACAGCTGTTACTATGCTCTATATAATTGACCGTCTCCAAAGTCCACCCCACTAGCAAGACCCCAGTGACACATGCTCACGCACGTGTGCATCGGATTTTCAAGCCAGAACACTCTTTGGTTCTGAAATGGGGCCCTGCGTGGCCAGTGTGGCAGGGAAGGTGAAGGTTAGTGATGGCCCTGTCACCGCACATGCTGCTACCATATGCTGCCTCGAGCCGACATCTGCGCCCATATGTTCCCCCCAGGAAACAACTGCGCTGTTTACTTTTAGAGTTTCTCCACAGTCTGATAGGGAGAGGGGATCCCTCACCCTGAGGATAAACTGTTTGTCACAAGATTAGCAAGTTTTCTCTTTCATATCTGACCTTCAGAGAGCCGTGCTGAAAGTTATCCTAAATAAAAATCTCAAGGAATATAATCAGAGGCGGGCAGAGATGCCGAGGGAGCTGCTGGCTCAGCAGCACGTGTTCCTCTGTGTGATGGCCCTATGCATTTCTTGGGGGGAAACCTAAGGCCTTTCCCTGGGAAACAGCACCTTCTTCAGGCCAGTACAAGCTCTGATACAGCAGAGATACCAGTCATTCTGCTCATTGAATTCAGATGGCTGACCCTGCCCACAGTCATCCAGACCTCAGGGACACAGGTGAGAACGGAGGGAGGGAAGGAAGTGCTGCCCTTGAATCCTTAAGTATGCACCTTTGGTTTGCCTCTGCTCCACTAGGAGCTGAAATATCAATATCCTTCCTTTTTCCTTTTCTTTCTGTCCTGTTCTGTTGCCTTTGCCTGTTGTTTGGTTTTTTAAGCAGGGCCACAGGAAAGGGATCTCTGGTGGGAGCTGACACCACAGAGAGTAAGATCACAACCTGTGTGGGGTGATGATGGGGACAACAGGGACTTCTCAGACCACAGAAAGAAGTCCTCACTGTTTAAGCAGCCAACAGACAACTTACACACGATTGTGTAAGTGGTGAGGCGGATGCACAGGTTTTTGTTTTCAGGTGACTGAAGCTCTGGTTATCTGTGACACTTTGTGAGATAAGAAAGACAGGGAAATCCAGACACATTCAGAGAGGAAACTGATCGGAGGATCTGGATGCTCATAAACTGGGAAAGAAGATTGCGAGTTACACAGACTGTAAGATGGAGACAGTGTTTCCCGCAGATACTTTACAAAGTAACTAAAAACTATGCTGTAAATGATGGGAGTCTGGGTGCTGTTTTAGTCTAAGACTGGTAGGACAGAAAGCAAGACAATGAATCCACAATTTACAAAAGGATACTTTTTCTTTATTCTAGCTGGTTGCTTAATCTTGAAGGACCCTGGGGTTTAGCAAAAGGCCTTTCTTGGTTCTAAGTGGCAAAGAGTCGTACTGGTAGTTTTTAAATTTGACTATGCCCAAGAGTCCCCTCTGATGCTGATTATGAATGCAAATTACAAAGCCTTTGTCACGCCCCTCCTGATTATCACCCACAGCTGTGAAAGGGGTCCCAGAAACCCTTATCTGGGCAAAGAGGCCAAGGGCACCTAGTTTACAAACCATCCAGGAATACTGTGTGCAATTTGTTGAGTGTAATTAATGGCATCTAAAACTCTCAATCAGGGCCAAAGGGATGGCTTGGTAGTTAAGAGCACTGGGTACTCTTGCAGAGGATCCGACCTATGTAATGGCACAAAACGGTTTGTAACTTCAGTTGCAGGGAATCCTATATGCTCCTCTGGCCTAAAAGGGCACTGCATGCACATGGTACACACATGTACATGCAGGCATGCTCATACACATAAAATAAATATATCTTTTTCAAAGTCTCAATAAACTTCATGTCAAATTAGCTCCTGAAAAAAAAAAATCCTCCCATACTCTCCATATAGACACCAACAGTACCTCTCTTTCAATAAGAATAATTATACAACCAGGTGCTACCATTTCCTCATAATACTGAACTACTACGACTTTCAACTGCTCTGAGAATGTTCTACACACTAGGGGCTTCACTCAAGGCCCTCTTTCCGTGTCGTGAACACTTGTGAAAACAGAGCTAGCTCCATATACTGTTTCATTACTGTGATATTTTCTGACAGTGGGATGGATTCTTCTGGACTATGCCCCCCTCCGAGACAGACTGTGCCCACCACTGTAGCCCACAGAAACAGAAAGCACAGGTTTCCATGGAAGAAAAGTGACGTTCAGGGCACAGTTCCCTTAGGCCCGCCTAGTGACTTCAGCTAACACATTTAACAACTCGATGAAGAGGTAGAAGAGCTGACTCTGCTCAAATCAGCAAGGTCTGCCGTTGTGGCTGTTTGTTTTGTTTTCATGCTTCAAGATGTCTCAGATATAAACAAGATGGTGAGAGAAAGGAACAACTAACCCAGGGGGTTCACAGTCATCTCTAAATGTGGTACCTGCTGTCTCAGTGCCAGGAATGCAGGCTATAACTCAGCTTTTGTGCTGCCCCACCACTTTGGGACCAGGCAGGAGTCTGGTAGCATCCTCTGTCCCTAGTCTCAACTTCCAGAGCTTCAAATGCCAAGGGATGAACTAGAATGTGGAAAGCTAGACTAACAGAGAGGCATCCCAGGGGATGGTTTCTTCAATAAATCCTCCTCCTCTACAGAGAAAGAGCCTTTATCTGGGACTGCTCTTTTCTCCTGGCCTAGGGTCAGAGTACACCGTCGACACTTTTCAGGATTTTCTTAGCTAGTTAGTTGCTCAATTACAGAACTCCATTATAAATCAAGTAGGAACAGTTTCAGTACGACCATGAAGATGTCAAAGCAGAAGTGAAAATGAGACTGAACTGGAGGATGAACTATGTATGAATGGCCCCCTAAAAAAAGAATTTCCCGCTCTCCGTGCTTGGCTTAGGTTCCGGCGACATGGCTAAACGCACCAAGAAGGTCGGGATCGTCGGGAAATACGGGACCCGCTATGGTGCCTCCCTCCGGAAAATGGTGAAGAAAATTGAAATCAGCCAGCACGCCAAGTACACGTGCTCCTTCTGTGGCAAGACCAAGATGAAGAGACGAGCCGTTGGCATCTGGCACTGTGGCTCCTGCATGAAGACAGTGGCTGGTGGGGCCTGGACCTACAACACGACTTCTGCCGTCACAGTGAAGTCTGCCATCAGAAGACTGAAGGAACTGAAAGACCAGTGAAAGTGCTACCATTTGATGATACCCAAGCCTACTGCAATAGTGCACAGCCAACTAAATAAATGGGTTAATTTACGTAAAAAAAAAAAAAAAAGAATTTCCCCAAATGGAGAAATGGCAAAGTCCTACCACATCTGGTGCAGACAAAGTAATCGGTGATAAACTTGATCTAAGAAGCACTGACATTACCAACAATGAAACCAGCCCAAAGCTTAAAGATTAGATTGCATTTCCCAGAATATTCCCACCGACACTTTGGCAATAAGAACTACATCCCTGTGCTGTTAAAAATCCACCAAGGAAAACCACCTGATGGCTCTGCTGTTGCTGCTTTCGGGCGGAAGGACTGCAGAGCTCGCCAGTCCTGTGGTCATGTCAGCTCGTATCTTGGAGCCAAATGGAGCATTCTTGTTCACGAGAATGAAGGAATGAGGGTTCCTACGGCAGCCCGAGGTTATGAACGGATGGTGATCTGTGAACTAGCTTGTTGAGACATACGTGGTGTTTGTCAGTGTGCTGTGGGCAAGATAGGGAAAGCCACGTGAACAGAGCCAGGATCCAAGTCGTGGCATTTTTTTTCTTTTTTCTTTCATGAGATTGGAAAGATCCTGCAGGATTTCCTGAAAGTAACATCACCAGATAGCAGTTCTCACATAGCTGCTCCATGACTGTGCCTTCAGATATGTGGAGTCTCC